TGAGGATTTATTGAAACGTTTTATTAAAAATGCATTGCATTCTGTATACGTTTATCTAAACACTTATTATATGGAAATAAAATAAAGTGAAATCCTATATCATATTTGATTATTTTTCATCCAGCATTGAAAAAATTGAGCATTCAGACAGAATTATTTGAAATAAATAATACGATATAACTATTTTTTTATCGATAAAATAATTTTATATTTTTAATTGTGATCACACAGTCAAACGCTATTTATATTGAACAATTTTTATATTTTTAGGAAAATTAATTTCTTTTGAAGTATGTTCAAAATTGTTTGTATAGTGTAATTTTTTTTTGGAAAAAATCATAGTTCATAGTAATTGTTTTGCTTTATAGATAATGCGTTTAATTTCTCTCTATAATTTGTATCAAATTATTTTTCTCAATAATGGTTAAGTATAACTGTACATCACGTATAATAATTTATCAGAATAATTAGACTTTAGTTTAAAAACGTAATTTATGTAGTATATTTAAAATTAAATTCATTTTAACAATTTATGATTGTACTTTAATTAATGAATACATCACAGTTAACGATTCGAAACTATTCTTTAGAATTCAATGTGAACTATGGCCTATTAAATTCTATCGGTGGAACTCACGATTTAAAATGTTCTCCAGAGTTGTATTTTCTAATAAAGTATATGCTCGAGAATAAAGGCAAAAAAAACATCGTAATCAAATTACTGTTCTCGGTGTTACATTTACACGATCATGCCAGGACCTCCAATAACCGTACATTTAACCCGGCCACGTCCCTCTGAATTACGCACACGTGAAACCCAGCTGTAACCAAGCCCGCGTACACACTTAAACTTTATATTACTTTAATCATGAAAAAAATCACACCGGAAACGTTACATTATATATATTTGCAAGGGGTAAAGTTTATTTATGCGTTTCCATACTAAGTATGCGTGCTAATCACGAATTACTTTCGTACATATTGAATTCAATGGACGAATCCCTCGGAGCGACTTATAACATTGTCACGCATGTATAAATGCGGGCGTAGACATCTGTGCGAGCTTGGTTTATGTAACATAGGATTATCCGACCTGGCCCACATTAGGGCTTATTTATCGCTGTGTTTCCTCATTGCAACATATTACCTTTTGTGTGTGGTTTTTTTTTTCCACACTGTCTTACCGATTTTACCGTACCGAATACAGAGTGCACGTAATCGTGGCGGTCGCGCGTAAAGAAAAATACATTATGATAATACTATACCCATGTCCTTTAGATTAAATTATGATGTACGAACGTCTATGGTTATTAATTAAAATCTGTAGTATCTGTACACTTACTATGTGTTGTTCTCATTTTACGAATTAAAGGTTGCTCATGAACTATACACGCTCACATCCATCGCGGAAAGATAAATGCAAAATATAATGTTTCTTGGTGTCGTGTGAAATCAACATATTTTTATTTCATTATTTATCTCTCGATTTAAAAACGTTCCACTATTCTATTATTATTATTTTGTTGCAAACTCGTTTTCACGCCCATCGATAATCAAATACACACCTAAACATACACGCACGTGTGTGAGGCAGGGTGACCCGTTGCACACAGCGGATATGTGTTTTATTCATAAATCACGGTTGCACGTAAAATGTCTGTGCGTGTATCGTATATGTATATATAATATAACCGTGTCAAAAGAGAGAAAAACAACAATATGATGTAGTGTTCATAAAAATAAAAAATATAAGATCAGTGTAGATAACAATATGTCTTACTAGTACACAATACGATATTACACCTAGGATATAACCATAATATATATTTAATCTTTCGTTGGCATTTGTTCATTACATATTGTTTCGTTAAACGCAGAGGTGGAACCAGGTATTTTTACGAACGAGGAAAATGTTAAAATTACGCCTTATCATAGACCAATAATCAAGTACTCTTATCGAGAACTTTTTTCTAATAATAAATATACTATCATACTTATTGAGTTTTGACATAATGTCAGTATTTAACAAAGTTAAAAATATCAAACTAGTTGTTAATGATTACAAAAATTAAATCATCTAAAATTTTACACCCGCGGATGAATCCGTGTCTTCCACCATCTAGTTCCACCCCTGGTTTAACGCCTCGAAACGTAATTATAATGTAATAAAAATTATTTAAATGTTATCTCAGAAATTGCATCTCAAACGAATTAATTATTATTTTATTTGAGTACTGCATCTGGTTCGCCCGATTTTGATCCATTAGATCCACGTCCGTTCGGACCTATACTAATATAAAGGTTGTTGTGGTGGCAGGATATACTTTCTGGACTTGAGGGTAAAAATAATAGAACATAAAAAAAAGGTCAGTTTATTTTAACGGCTTGAGCGGGAAGCGTACGAGGTATATACAGTAGAACGGTATTTTACGTAATAGTGTTGGCAAACCGAAAAATATTCCCAAGGAAAAAAGTATTACCAAAAAAGTCATCGTAATAATAAGGTTCTTACTGCTGATAATTTCAATCAATTTAATAATTTTTTATAATGGTTAAGTTTCATAGTTTTAGGTGTTTGTAAAATGTTATTGTACTCATTAATTAGTGTGTGTACCTTGTGCGTGTACTAGTTTTCGACGTGAAAATAAACGCGTATCTGTGAGATATCATGAAAATCTTAAGACAATGCAAACTATATTTAACGCAAAAACGAGATTTTTGTTCATTCTTGTTTAGTCTAAATCTCACCCGAAACGTCGGGGTTCTGGATCGCGATTTATCGTTTTCGGTGCGTTTTGCTATGACCCGATCTATTAATCATGTTTATTGTTACGCACGTATTTGCCATCCCGGGGCTTTGCTATAACAACAAGTATACAATAATAATCCTGGGAGAATATCAATATCTGTGGAGTTCGACCTTCAAAAACTATACTATACCCTCGTTTAATTGAAACGCATTAACTCCTGCTATAACGATATATAACCGACTCCGTGAATTAGGGCAAATGGACGTGGGTCCGAGTTCTCGATATTTATATAAATATATAAATATAAAAATGTATTAATTCTCTATCCCCTGTTCGCAGTAAATTATACACTACTGCTGGGATAAAATTGTCGATCCCTTCGGAAAGTTGAGCCTATACACCGCGATGATGACGTGTCTTGGTGGAGTGATAGGGATGAAACTATCAACGGATCAGAGGATTATCATTTGGTATATTTTATGAACAAAAATGGTCTATAACAATGACAACGTAAATCATTATTTATTCAGAATTTCTGGAGCGTATAAAGAAGGCTTTTTGAATTTTTGTTTATACATTACAATATACTTTGTGATCACTTTTTCGGGTAAAGGACAGCCTTAAAAGTTTCAAGTAGTTCCTTTATAAATTGGAAATTTAGCACCGATATTTTGTGCGTGGCATTTAGAAGATGAATATTTTGTTTGGACTTTTCCATCGGTTTTCGGGAAAAATTATGAAAAACTTCATAATAACACAGTGAAATTTATGTTGATTCCTTTTTGTACAAAATCAATTTTAGGTATTTAGTGTTAATTAAAAAAAAAAAAATAATAATAATAACCCAAAAGCAATATGATAATAATTGGTTATTTTATAGTTTTTCGTGGACGATAATTTTTGAAAATAAAGATTTTCTTTTTTCAAACTCTTTGTAAAATTTGAATTCGAGTTATTTATTATCATAAAAAATGTGCTGTTTTACTTTTGAAAATTCAACATCTAATGGAATAGGTTTATAACATTATCTTGGGACAGGAAAAAAAGGTTAAACGCCTGTAAACATTATACTCCGATAACCTCCATCAAAATCGATTGCAATGCTGGTGTAATCTCTGCAAAGGGTGAAAGGTCGGCGCTTCATCGCGTTACAGTACGGACCCATGTGTATAGACCCCGTTATCAGGGTGGTTGAAAATATGTGCGTCGACGTTCCGTTAATGCCTTCGCTTTGTGTTTTTGCCGATAAAAAAAAAATACTGTCGGTTTTAGCTCGTTCAATTAAATCGCGTGGCTTGGATAAACATAATAGTATCCTATTCGCGATCAGTAGGCACACCGCAAAAGTATGCATTCAAACCGCCTTTGCGTATGTTTGTCAGAAGACCGCGATAATTGTTCGTAGGAGAATGATATACATCGTGTAGGTACTGATAGAAATGTTATAAAGTGAACCGTTCTGGACGGGACGAGCGCAGAGGTAAACGAAAAACGCGAACGGCGAATAAAGGTAAAGCCCTGTCGTTGTACTCCCCATTCCGTCGACCGGCACCGACTTTGCACCGAGATTCGTTGGCGACGGTTGCCGTCGTGTCAAGAGCATTGGCCGACGACGAAATTCGTTTTATTCGCGACATCCCGATGCATCGGTCCGCCGGGAACACCAAACCCGGTCATTCGTCACGTACATCGACCGCCGTATCGGGTGTAACTCGACGTGGCCCCTTTCACGTTAACCGCACCGATTCGACTGATCCGCTCCGAACCAACGCCAATGTTTTGCTAGTCGATTGCAAATAATCGAAGAAACCCCGTTATTTACGATGCTCAAAGCAAATCTCTAATTCCGGGGAAATAATTGCAAAATGCCGGTTGCGTTGGTCTCGAGGTAGGTCAACTCGGCGGAGTCGACTTAGCGAACGTTCCGCTTTCGCTCGTAACAACGACAACTGTAACGGCGAGTCGATGATCGACCATCGTTTTCGTACGGACTAGCTCCGAAAAGTTGACTGAAACAATTGAGTTTTTCGGGATTTTTCGGGGTTTCTGCAACGGTGCCGAAATTCAGCATTAATAACGTTTTATATACAATAATACGTATTACGAGTATATATAATAATTTACGACGGAAATCAATGCTCGATTTCTCCGCTTACGCAACGGCCCGCGAAGTTATTCCGAGTTTTTGTTTTTATGTAACCGGTAAGTCTTCGGTCGGGACTAATGTATTTTTTTGTCTGTTCCGCGCAGGCGTGTGACTCGTCGGCGGGGCCATGTTCAAAACGGTGCGCGCCCAACACGGCACCGGCGATCTGGCCGCCGAGCTCGAGTACACGATACTGCCGCAGTCGGACGATCGTTCGCCGTCGTCGGCGTCCAGCGGCGAGGACGAGCCGTCGTACGTGGACGGCCACCACCAGCACCGGCACCACCTGTTGCAGCACCAGTACCACAACAACCACAACCACCACCACCACCACCATCAGCAGCAGCAGCAGCAGCAGCAGCAGTACCACCAGCAGCAGCAGCACCATCACCACCATCACCACCGGCGGTCGTCGTCGTCGTCGTCGTCGTCGGCCGACGGCGGCGGCGGTGGCGCTCCCGGCACCAGGCGCACCGTCATAATCATCATAGCCATGTTGGTGCTCGGCTGCGGCGTCGTGGTGGCCGCCGTGCTGGTGCCCATACTGTTGGCCACCCGGCTGGTGTCCGCGCCTACGTCGGCGCGGCTGCAGACGTTCGCGGTGGCCGCGTCCGGCGTCATACACTCGGCCCGCGGCGACTACGTCCAACTGCTGCCGGTCATGCAAGCGCCGCCCGGCACCGTGCTCGAGTTTCAACAAGAACGGCCACCGCCGCCGCCGCCGCCGCCGTCCACGAACCGACGGAGGAGACGCACCGTGGCCGCGGCCGAGTCGGAAGCGGTCGAGCGGCTGCAACGGCGGCGGCGACCATTCGCAGACGTGATTCGTCACCGGAAACCGGCGTCGACCGGCAAACCGGATCCCAAACGGACGACTTCCGCTCTCGTCGGTGGCGGCGACGCGCAAAGTAAGCCTTTCTTTCGTTCATAAATGTATACCATAAATACATATAGATACATGATTATGGAACGTTTGCATACGAGTTGGGTCCGAAAATTAAAATATTTTCACCGGTTAAATCCTGGTTTTTTTTAAGTTCGTATTGATTACTCTAAAAACCGGATCATAGACTTTTTTCGGTGAGCACCGCACACATTAACGATATGTTTCCCATCGTAATTGACCTATAAAACAGTGTATGATTGACTTTCGAGCACAGGTATGGTTAGGATTAGTTTTTTTTTTTTTGTTCAATTAATAACCATGCACTGTTGGAATTATACAGTATATCTAATAAACACTGGTACACGAACAGTCATGACGTTTACGAATCGTCGTCGTTTGCACGACGTTTTCGATCCGATTTCCGTCGTTCGTTGGTCGCGCATTCGATAGAAAACATTTCACGCACCGCTGATTTCGATTCGAAAAGATCCTTTCCACCGACTGTTATTAGCTTCATTATATTACATTAGGTACTATTATTATTAATATTATATTATATTATAATACTATAGTATTATTTTTTTTAACGTGCGGTTTTTCACGCTTACGTTTATCACGTAATCACGAACGAGATGTGCCGTGGTTTCCGGTATATACGGTTCTTTTAACATTAATATAAAACGTATTATCAATGGTGCAGAGTAAACTTTAAAGTCGACAAAAGCCATAGAGAGAGAAAAAGCAGGCTCTTATTCATACATTTTTGTACTTTGGTGTAATGTCGTTATATTTTCGAGGGTGCGTAACGCATCAGTAACGTATTTAGCAGACAGAAAGTTATATAGAAAATCTCACGGTACTTTTAATTATCTTTATAAAAAAATTAATTTTTATTCTCAATAGAACGAATTTTTCTTGTGAATTACCAGACATATATAAACCACACCATACCCATTGCTTAAACATTTTTTTTAATAATTATTCTAGTACAATAATTAATGTTATGCATTATATTCTTGAGTTGTAGTGAATCTATGTATTTTATTGGTCAAAATATCTATCTATATAGTCTGAAAGTGGGACATAAAACATTTTAATTTACCAGTAAAGTTCATTGAAAATAATGTTAAATATTTAAATATTTTTCTTACATTTTTATTTTTATTTTTAGTATATACCCTCAAATTTTGTTAAAATTGCTTTTACAAAGTTTAAGTTACAATTTTGTTACTACTGTGCACTTTTATTGAAAGAATCATTATGTTAATATTTATTACAAAACTAGTTATCGGTTTAAATGCATATTTCTTTTATTTTTTTTTTATTTTTTCTAATATATTTTGTGCCATAAAAAGTATTTATTAATTTTTCAATTGAAAACACTATGAAAATAGTTTTGTTTATAAAATCATTTATATTTTTGTTTGGTGTTTTAAAAAATTATAATACAATAAGTTTTTTCACCACAGAAATATATTTAATAATAAAATTATTCATTAATTCTATTTATATGTATAATATATTAAAATAAATAAGTACTGAATATTAAATTATTGTGTTATAAACAAAATGAAATATTTCTATAAAAACTATTTGTGTAATTTGTAATCTTAGGTCATACAAAAATTAAATTGTACATATTACGTTTAATGATGCATGGTTATATGTATGTAATGTACATAATGTCGAATGTAAATTTATTCTTTGATTCTAAACTATATTACAATAATAAATTCGTACTTTTACATAATAATTTCAATTGATGGAAATAAAATAAATATAAATAATTATTAAATACAAATATTATTTTATAATATTTTCCTTTAAAACAGATTTTTAAAATAAAAAGGCATTTAGTGTTGGTGTATTAAACTCGTTAGGATAATATTTATAGTTTTATTTAACACGTTTTTCCTTTGGCATACATATCTAATGACATTAACAATCATCCCATTTGACCTTAAATGTTTAGATTTAATATTTATGCAAATTTGTTTTTGTTCTAAAAAGCGTACGTAGCTGAATTAATTGTTCAACAAGTTGTCTTATCTTATTTAGGCTAGTTTAACATAAATCAGATTTCTCAATTCCATATCGACCAATAATATATTCAAATGTCATCAATTTGTTTAGGATTATGATTGTCTTGAGTAAGTTTGATGCGTTCAAACGGGCGTATCCGAGTTGGGTCCCAGTTAATATTTTTTATAAAGATAAATAACTAATTGAGTCTGATTATAAAAACAATAACATATGAGTTCGGTCCGACCACTTCGATAAAAAAATCTGTAACTTACAAGTATTGATACCCTTGATAATGTTAAAAAATTAATAGATTTAAGTTTGTAAAAGTTCTAACATTTAAATTTTTACAAATTGTGTACATTTTTAATAATTTATTTTATTTATTTACCATACTCCAGTGTTTTAGTTTTCAATTAGTAATTAAATTGATACCATTTATTAGAAACTTAATAAAAAACCATACTAGTGTTCTAATTTATAGATCACTGATAAATCTTGAAAGCGACAATCTGTACAGATGAGAAGGAAAATGTTTTTTTTTTTTTGTATGGACCTAATTAGAGTTTTACTAGTAAAATCGTGGAAGCTAACTAGTGTATGCCTGAAAAATACTGGGACCTAACTAGACTAAATAAGTTTCTTGGAGATCCAGCTAGTAAACGTCGGTTCAAACAACGCTAAATCGTTTGTTTCTTTTTAAACTTGCAATACTGCAAATAATAATTATAAATAATATATAAATATTTATTAATTATTGAATAATATAAAAAAATAAAAGTCAAATTTGGTAGATTTTAAAAATAGTGCTAATGTGGTAAATGGTAATGCGGTAAGATGTATCTGCATTGACATAAAATATAACAGTGATTTTATGTTTTATAGTTTAGAAATGATTTGGTAATCTAGACGAGAGAAAAATAATAAGTTTTCTGTATTTATTAGTCTAGACTACTTTACGATAAAATAACAATGGGAAAAAAATCGTAAATAGAAAAATAATCAAAATATATTTTCTTTGAAGGTGATACAGCAAATAGCATGTCATTTTTTTTAATAAAAGTAATATTTTCCATTCATGTAACTTAGGAATTTTTTTTTATAATTAAAACAATTTCAGTAAGCTTCTTGATATGTACCGAGTCCAATTAAAAAAAAAAATATTGAGATTATTGGCAACTTTAAGTTAATACCAGGCGGGTGATGATCTTTTTGAATACTAATAATAAACAACGACAAAAGGGGTCGAAGTAAGGAACGCTGATTTTGTGTGGTGGGTAGTAATTAAAGTAATATGCATTCCATGCAAAACGTAAAAATGTATAAGCTTGCGTACAGTATGTTATAGTGTAATTGGCAATAGCAATAACAACAATATAATAATTCAGAATAGTGACTAGATTGTTTACGAATACTATTTCACTGTTATAAAAAATTCAATAATAATAGTAATAATAATAATGCACGTGACCATAAGTTGTATGATTTAACGGTAACCGATGGTGGCGGCGGGCGTGGTGCCTAACCTGTCAAATGCGTACCGCGGTAGGGCGGACGAATACGATAAAAGTAGTAGATCGTCTGCTGTTATATACAATATGAGTCGATTATAAATTGCGTATGATGGCAACAGCGTATATTATAATACGACAAAAGTTTTATAAACTATACGTATATATATAAAAAAAAAAAGTTTGTACAAAAGTTATTGACACAACGCGTGTTACATACGCCACAAGACAGTGGGTTTCGAAATATAGCCTTTGCGAGAGACGCACGCTGTCCTCATATTATATCATATTTTAATTATTACGACTGTTATTAAGAATCTATACGTAGTAAATTAAAATGCTTATTCAAATGCACGTGTATTACGTGAACGAATTATCCTTTTTAATTAAAGCAAATGTAATATAATCATCCATTATCACATGTTCCTTTTCCACGTTTTTTTTATTTAGCTTTTACGGGCTATTTAGACTCTTTGTTTCTAAAACCAATTTCCTCCATACTTCTCATACGTGAGCTAGATGCAAATTTCTATTCCAGTATGGTTTCAATGCGTCTAGATACTTTTCTAACTGCATAAAGCCATCATTGCCTTGGCCGCCCCCTTGGTATTTTTCAATCTATTTGATTCACCATAACCATTTTTATAAGAGACCTATCAGCTCTTCATGCATGCCCAGCCCAGGCAAATCCGGAACTCCTTACAAACTGCACTATGTCCTCTTTTGAATACAGATTCTTTAGTTCCTCATTTGAACTCCTTCTCCACGTTTAATATTATTAAGAAATAATCGCATTAAAACATAGGTACTCTTTTTATAAAATTAATATTTCATAAACAGTAGTACGCTTTCGTAATCCTAAAATAGCGTTGAAACGGTATTTTTTGGGGATAAAAAAACAACAAGTTTATTTAAATTACTCTTGTGCGTTGATATGATATCAGTTTATAAAAACAATGCATCTGATGAACTGGTACTATTTTTTTTTCTCCTATATTATAGCTGCATAATCATTATTTTAAAATTTTCGAAGACTGCGGTGTTTAATATTCGCAGGAGCGGATTAATCTACCGGGAGTTTGGGAGTTTTTCCGATGGTCTGGACTGTTCCGTGGACTTGGCCGTAACTCAACATCATTAACAACGACCGTGCGTCGGTTTATTTACCATTTTTCCGCATTGAAATGTTTTCCCCATCCACTAGAGATGAGCAAAATACATTGATGTTTCAAATGTAGATACATCGATGCATCAGAACATCGATGTTTTAAATTTTTTGCCCATCTCTACCATCCACCCCTGAATGTTCGTAACTTGTATTTCGATGAGTTTAAAATATTTAAATGCAAAAATATCTAACGTGTTGGATAAGAAAAAATTAATATTTTAGTATTACGATATTCATGTTCAACTATAAGGTGTATTTACAGTTTTAACGAATTGATTTTTTGATAGGTATTACTTGGATTTATTTCGATAAAACATGTGA